TATTGTGATGAAAACTCCAAGCACGAGCTTTCTAATAAATAGTTGTAAAAAAAAAGGTCTATGAATGAAAAACAAGGTCTATGATTCATATAAAATGCTAATTGAAAATGAATAAATTATAATCGATTTGGTGAAACACATGTTAAAATCTACTCTAAATAGTATATTTTGTTAATTTTGTTTGGAAAAAGTTAACGGGTTTGCAACGGACACCTATAAAGTATAAATGTGAAAACGGTAGATTTGTGGGCGTTAATTAATTAGCGGCAATGGAGGAGGGACGTGGGCTTGGGCCTCCATGGTGGGCCCCAAAAAGTTTGGCGGAATAACCGAACAACCACCTCTATTTTTATTTCTAGTAATAAGATTATAATTCATGTGCAGTGGTCCTATCTCTCTATATTAATGAATTATTATTATGAGCCAATCACGCCTTTCCCACCACAAACCTAATCATGCAAATTAATTAACTCATACTCAATAAAACATTTGTTTCGCTGTAATAAACTTGTTTTCCAACGATTTTTTTTTAAATTTCAATGTTTAATTCATCGACAACTTAACATGCATAGTAAAATGATATTATAAGTATTTGTTTGGGGAACTTTTGGAATTAACCATTAATTAAAATTGATCGAAATTTCGTAAATATTTCAATTCCATTAAAAAGGGTTAAAATTTATTTAGTGAAAAACAAGAAGACAAAGAATACCCAAAAACATGTTTTATTGCTACGACAAGAAATGATGGTACAGTGAGAAAAGGATATAAATTAAACATATAAACATACATTATTGATTATTGTTGTCATTTTGTCAAAAGATGGGTCTTAGCAACTGCACCATCAACTTTCTTTATTTATTTGCTTTTTTTTTTTTTTTTTTTTTTTAATATTGAGGTGTGAATGTAATAATCCTAAATTCCGTGTCCATTGTTTGTTGTTATAGTTGGATTGACTTCACCAAATTATTTTTGGGCGAATGGCAAAAAGGCCCATCACATGGGACTTAAATGCATTTTGATCCACAAAAGAAAAACAGTCTCTTAATTAAATCCATAGTCTAAAATACCCTCAATAATATAATTCTTATCAATTCCACCCATTATGCTCTAACTTCCTTAATATTACACATTGATCCCGGATTTAAACAAATATATGACATTAACCCCCAAAACTTTTTTTTTTCAGAAAATAATTTTTTTTCTGAAATATTTTTTTTCCGGCTAGTTTTTGGCGTTGACTTTTTTTTTTTTAACTTTTTTTTTCCTGAAATTTTTTTTTCCGGCCGGTCAACCACCGTTGACCGCCGGTCTCTGGCGTTTACTTTTTTTTTTTTTTTTTTTGAATTTTTTGTTCTTAGAAAAAAAATATTTAATTAATATTACTGTTTTGGCTACTAAATTACTGTCTCAGACAGTAATTATTACTGTTTGGGACAGTAATATTATGAATATTATTTTCCCGAACAGTAATATTATTAATATTATTGTCTAAGAGAGTTAAATTACTGTTGGAGACAGTAATTTAGCATCCAATGCAGTAATATTAATTAAAATATTTTTTTTAAGAAAAAAAAAAAAAAAAAAAAAGTCAATTAACAGTTAAATTATTGTCTCCAAGAATTAAATAACTGCTGGAAACAGTAATTTAGCAACGAATACAGTAATATTAATTAAAATATTTTTGAAGAAAAAAAAAAAGTCAATGAACAGTTAACTTAAATTACTGTCTCCAACAGTTAAATAACTGCCGGAGACAGTAATTTAGCAGCCAAGACAGAAATATTAATTAAAATATTTTTTTAAGATTAATTAAAAAAAAAAAGTGAACGCCGGAGACCGGCGGTCTCCAGTGGTGGCGGGTCAAAATTGAAATTAGAATTAAAATTTGTTAATTGATGAAATTTGGCTAAATTGGGGTGTAAATCATGAAATTGGAGTTGAATTGAGTTTCAATGAATTGGGGGTAATTTTGGTATATGTAAAAGGATTTTTCTTATTTGCAAATAAGTTTGAATGAGCTGGATTTATTTAAAAAACAAAAAAGTTGGATGTCCCTATTTTAATTAAGTGTCATTGTCATGGGCCTATTTGTCATTACCCCATTATTTTAACTGTCCAACTGATGGATAAAAAGGCATTTAGTTATTCTGCTCTTCTATTTTAGTCACCATCATCTAGTTATGAAGATGAAATATTAATTCTACCATGACTTTGAATTATTAATGAACTTTATAAAAAAAAAAAAGAAAAAAAAAAGGATGAAAACTAAAATGGAAATAAGAATAAAAAATGTAGCAACCACAAACATCCACCGACAACTTATCAACTTATGAATTCATTGTAAAATAAATATTTCCAGACTTCAATGTTGGGGACCCTAATGGATCTGTAATCAGTAATCAACTCACTAAGGTTCTATTATGCTTAGAATAAAGCAGTGAATAATTGGAACTGAATTTCCAATTTTCAATTTTGGAATATAATTTTTTCATCTCAATTTTCGAATTATTTTGGTTTTATTTTTTTTAAGTTGAGAAATGAATTCGAGAAATTCCAATAGATGGGAAAAGGGATATAATTTAGGTGGGAGTAGTTGGGCCCATTTAGAGTGAGTGACCCAATGGTTGGCGTCGATTGCGCCGTTGAACGCTAAAAATTAATCCCACCAATTAGGGTACTTATCATTAATCAAATCACATGCTAATTAATTAATCCCTTTTCAACGGATTCTTAAATCAATTTTTTTATTTGACTGGTTTGTTGCTACCACATTCTCCGGATCCTCCTTTTCTTTTTCTTTTTTCTATTTTACCATTGCTAATTTGGAGCACTTGTTGTAAATGATAATTGCTCAGAATAAATTTCAGGAAAAGTTTATTGATTAGTAGTATTTAACACACTTCATATAATATAATAATGTAGGTCTGAATAAAATTGAATTATAGAAAAGCATAATTGAAAAGGGTGATTGGTGAAGGAAAATGACATAAATTAATTCTGACCAAAGCTCTCTCTGTAATATCGATCATCTTTACCAATAGTATTTGTTACGTCACATTATATTATATTATATTATATAGAGTATATGTTTGATGCATTTTTACATCTTCTCTGTCACTTTTGTGTGATTTACAATTACTGTCTGCACCCATATATTTTGTTGTCAAAATTAAATGAAATGAAATAGGTAAAAAATGAAAGAAAACAAGCAATTATATTTCACATGCAATTGGTCTGTGGGCCATTTTTCCATTTCGCAAATAAACTCGACACGTCATGCAACAACAATTTCATGTACATTCTATTATCACAAAAATATCATTCACTAAAACATTTTTTTTTTATTATTTTTTCTTCTATGCTTCTGTCGGTGAGGAGGGCTGCATGAGTTTAAACTAATTAATTAAAACACACTCCTACTATAATTATTTTTCTTAATGAGAAAATGATTAATTTTATGAAAATAGCAGGGTCAAATAAACAAGAGTTTGGAATTAAATTTGTACCAACAATTCCCTCTGAATTTACACATCTGGCCCAATTAACAAGATTTTTTATTTTTTGATCATTAATTAACAAGAATTTGACTCAGATCCTTTTGCGGGTTGTATTAAGTATTAAGTATTAAGATTGAGTAGCAATATAGAATATAGTTGAGAAATGTCAAAACGTGACAGCTAACGTTTAATTCTAATTTAGTTAATAATGAAAAAAAAAAAAGTAATTAAATAACGATAACCGTACAGTAAAAGCAACGCATTAGTATTAATTAATTAATTAATTAATTAATTGAGTAGAAGAAAGACACTCTTTGCTAATTAATTAAAGTATTAAACAACCACTTGAAAGTGTCCCCTGAAAACCAGGAAATCTTGTTCGCAACACTCCTCCTTACTATAGTAATATAGTTTATTAATCTTAGTAATGACCGGGGGGATTAGGCTTAGTAATAGTAATAATTAATCATGATTTATTAGATTAATCTATTATGGTGTCCTCTTGTTCACTTTTATCTGTTTGTCAGTTTATTTAAGTATGGAGTAATATTTTTCGAAAAAAAAAAAAAAAAGTATGGAGTAATAATAATAATTAATATTATTGTTTTAACAAATTGCTTCTTCCATTGAGTTGCACAGTCAAAATAGCGACTTTTAAAGCTGCTGAACTGTACTGTACTCCCACAACTTTAAAGTGTATATATAATGTAATACACCCATTCCACTAACGTTGTTCCTGGTAACTGCTGCTTGCTTAGTCCACATTATTAATACCAAATCACACACACACACACACACACTCTTTCTTAGATTGGCTTCGTAAACTCCACTGGCACAACAATTACTACGCATGCAATTTAGGAAGAGAAGAAGCCAATTTTAGAGTGGGCGGGCGAAAAATGGAAAAAAAGAATTCATCATCAGTAGTGTATGTGTATAAGAAGTGGGTGCTGTGGGCGTGCATGGTGGTGTATATTGGATCTGGGTATGTGCAATGTAGTGTTACCTATGACAGAAAGGCCATTCTTATCAATGGCCAAAGAAGAATTCTCTTTTCTGGTTCCATTCATTACCCCAGAAGCACCCCCGAGGTACGTTTGTACTTTGTATGTATGTTTTAATCTTTTTTTTTTTCTTTTCTTTTGGCTAATTAATGAGTGTTTTTTCTTTTGTTGTGGTTAGATGTGGGAAGATCTGATAAACAAGGCTAAAGAAGGAGGTGTGGATGTGATTGAAACTTATGTGTTTTGGAATGTCCACGAGCCCTCTCCCGGCAATGTACTTACTACTACTCTTTCTTTCTCTCATCGAATTTCTTCTAATTATTTTGTTTGGGTTCAATTTGGGCTAAAGATTGTATCTTTGTGAATGTTTTTTTGTGGGTTTTCAGTATGATTTTGAAGGGAGATATGATTTGGTGAGGTTTGTAAAAACCATTCAGAAAGCAGGGCTATATGCCCATCTTCGCATTGGGCCTTATGTCTGCGCAGAGTGGAATTTTGGGTACGAATTTCTCTCATTTCTCTCAGATCTAAACTGCAAAACAAACACCCACAGTTGAGCATTTTGAGTTATTTTTTGTTTGCAGAGGATTTCCAGTTTGGCTGAAATATGTTCCTGGGATTAGCTTCAGGACAGATAATGAGCCATTTAAGGTTTTTTTCTTTTTTTTTTTTTTTGTTTCTTCTTCAGTAATGTACAGTTGGTAAATTACATTGGTGTTTTGTTGGTGGGCAGATGGCAATGAAAGGGTTCACAGAGAAAATTGTGAATCTAATGAAGAGTGAAAAACTTTATGAATCTCAGGGTGGTCCCATTATACTCTCCCAGGTTTTAATTCCCCTGTTTTTTTCTTTTACCATTTCACCTTATTTATCTGCTACTCCTTTTATAATTTTTCAGACAGTTTAACTAATAAGTTAGACTAATTTGTTCTCAGATTGAGAATGAGTATGGCCCTATGGCAAAATCTCTCGGTGCTTCTGGCCATCAATACTCAACTTGGGCTGCAAACATGGCTGTTGCACTCGATACTGGAGTTCCGTGGGTCATGTGTAAGGAAGAAGATGCTCCAGATCCCGTTGTAAGATAACCATTCTACCAAAATATGAATTCTAGTAAATATAGACAAGAAAAAAACATGTCTTGTGTTTAATATGGAAATGAATATAACTCTGTGTTGCTATTTGGTAGATTAACACATGCAACGGTTTCTATTGTGACGCTTTCTCCCCCAACAAACCGTACAAGCCCACTATTTGGACCGAGGCTTGGAGTGGCTGGTGTGTAAATCTTTTTTAAGTTCTATTTACTTCCTAGAGTACTAAAGAATTCAAACTGGATTTTTTTTGTAATTAATATTTGTTTATTCGATAATTAGGTTCACGGAATTCGGTGGTCCAAATCACGAGCGACCAGTTCAGGATTTAGCGTTTGCTGTAGCCAGATTTATACAAAAGGGAGGCTCGTTTATCAACTATTACATGGTTAGTTCAAACATTAATCATCTGTTTTCTCTATTATTATTATTATTGTTTTCTAAGTTTATTGCTTTGTGAATAGTATCACGGAGGAACGAACTTTGGACGCTCTGCTGGAGGCCCTTTCATAACCACAAGCTACGATTACGATGCTCCACTTGACGAATATGGTAAAAAAAAAAAATCCCATTTATTATGCTCTAGATATGGTCATCTGAAAGTGATTACCTTATAAAAATATATCTTCTTGATTTAGGTTTGATCCGACAACCTAAATATGGTCATCTCAAAGAACTTCATAGAGCTGTCAAACTATGCGAGAAATCTCTAATTTCAACCGACCCCACTATCACATCCTTAGGAAACCTTCAACAGGTTATCTTTCTTTCTTTTCGGTGTGTGTGTGTGTGTGTGTGTGTGTGTGTGTGTGTGTGTGTCTAATCCTAGGATTTTCTGACATTTGACAAATTTTCCAGGCTTATGTATACACTTCAGAATCAGGGGATTGTGCAGCTTTTCTTTCGAATTACGATACTAAGTCGGCTGTGAGAGTTATGTTCAATAACATGCACTACAATATTCCTCCTTGGTCCATCAGCATTCTTCCCGACTGCAGAAATGTAGTCTTCAATACAGCCAAGGTATGTAACTTTTAGTAATGTAATAGTTTACTTTATATGTCCTTAAAACAAATAACTTTTAGTAATTGATGTTTGTTTGTCCGAATCTCAGGTTGGAGTTCAGACATCACAGATGGAAATGGTGCCAGCTAATAACGAAATACTCTCGTGGCAAACATATAACGAAGATTTATCTTCTTTGGATGACAGCTCGACTTTCTCTACTGTTGGTCTCTTGGAACAGATTAATGTCACAAGAGATGCTACTGATTATCTTTGGTACACAACTAGGTAAATATGTCTCGTTTTTTTCGTTTGTTCCTTGTGTCTCATAATTATGTATATATTAGCTATGTAGTAAAGAACATTATAAGTATTACTTGTCTGTGTTTGCAGTGTTGATATTGGTTCATCAGAGTCATTCTTGCATGGTGGGGAACTCCCAACTCTTATTGTTCAGTCGACTGGTCATGCTCTTCATGTTTTTATAAACGGACAGCTTTCCGGTAAAAATAAAATACTTTCAAGATTTATTACAACATCAGAGTACATTTCTTGGATACCGTGTTAAAGCTTAAATTTTGGTACAAGGTTCTGCTTCTGGGACTAGGCAAAACAGGAGATTTACATTTAAAGGAAAAGTCAACTTGCGAGCTGGTTCGAACAAGATTGGTCTCCTCAGCGTTGCTGTCGGATTACCTGTAAGTTCTTATATCGTTTCGTTCTTACAATTAAATCAGTGCATTATTCCCAGTTTCATATGACCGTACTTAATTTTTCTGACATTCTTTTTTGATTTGTAGAATGTTGGTGGCCATTACGAGACATGGAACACAGGAGTGTTGGGCCCCGTTGCATTGTTAGGACTCGACCAGGGAAAATGGGATTTGTCGTGGGCAAAATGGACATATCAGGTACCGTTATAGTTATATCCTACAGTTAGTCAAAATGTTGCACTAAATATATAGTTATTTTGTCTAGTAATTGACGAAAATGTCATGAGCAGGTTGGTCTTAAGGGAGAAGCAATGAATCTCGTCTCTCCAAACACGATTTCTTCAGTCGAGTGGATGCAGGGTTCTTTAATAGCCCAAAAACAGCAGCCTCTGACGTGGCATAAGGTACAGCTGGACAAGAAATATCTCTTACTGGTGGAAGTAGACACTATGAAATGCAGAATTTAATCCTCTTTGATTTTTTATTTTTTAGGCCTATTTTAACGCACCCGATGGAGATGAACCACTAGCTTTGGACATGAGCAGCATGGGAAAAGGTCAACTTTGGGTCAACGGCCAAAGCCTCGGAAGATACTGGACCGCTTACGCCACCGGCGATTGCAATGGGTGTAGCTATGTCGGAAGCTTCCGCCCCCCTAAATGTCAACTCGGGTGCGGTCAACCCACACAAAAATGGTGGGTCCCGGTTAACTCGAAAATGTTTTAATTAATTTACGACTAGTGATAAATAAAAGTGAATAATGTTTTTTTTTTCAGGTATCATTTACCGAGGTCTTGGCTAAAGCCGACTGAGAATTTGCTAGTGCTATTCGAAGAGCTGGGTGGGGACCCCACAAGAATAGGGGTTGTGAAGAGATCGATGACGAGCGTTTGCGCTGACATGGCAGAGTACCACCCGAATTTCAAGAACTGGCAAATCGAAAGCTACGGGAAGCCCGAAGAGTTTAGAAAGCCAAAAGTTCACCTTCATTGTGGGCCCGGACAATCCATCTCTTCCATCAAGTTTGCGAGCTTCGGAACTCCTCTCGGAACCTGCGGAAGCTTCCAGAAGGGAACTTGCCATGCTCCTACCTCGTACGCCATTCTAGAGAAGGTACATATTTATATATACACTTGTATTTCCGTATTGTATATATTGCGAAAGAAATATATATTAATTTGTCTTCTAATATTGCAGAAGTGCATTGGAAAGGAGAGATGCTCGGTGGCAATATCGAACAGTAATTTCGGGCATGATCCATGCCCGAATGTGCTCAAACGGTTATCGGTTGAAGCAATATGTGCCCCTCATAATTAACGAGCAATGTCGGTAGACAAAAAAAAAAAGAAAGGTGAAAATACTATTGGAAAGTTAGTTATACGAGTATTTATTTATATAAGAAGAGCAATGTATGGTAGTGTATTCTAAGATAGGGTTAGTTTACAGGGGTTCCGGGATTCGGAAAAAGAAAAGAAAAGAAAGTGTGATTAATTATGGAAGGACTGGTAAAATTTCCACTATTAGCAGGAAATGGGAACCAGCAATTTATTATTAATTATTAATTAAGAGTTAAAAGTGTGATTAGAGTGAGTTATTATTAGAGTGAGTGAGTGAGTGAGTGAGTGTCCTCGGGGATAATATTTGCCCTGTGTGGACTGAATGTTTCATGTTAGGAACGGTTCCTACCTAGTATGTTTTGTGTTTCAGTGACGTTTTCTGTTTTTTTTTTTTTTTGAATTTTCGTGGTGCAATTATTTGGTGAGATTGTCTCTATAATATAATTTAGCTTCCTTTCTTAATTTGTTGACACATTTCTTGAATTACTGAGAAACATGAAAAATATTGTAACTAGATGGACCAAATTGTAAAGATTGAGACTGAGAAACATGTAAAAGCCAAATTAAAGATGACCAAACTGATGCAAACATGAATTCGAAAGCCTTTTAACAACGTCTGTTAGGTTATCAAAAATTGCAAATGCTTGCTTTGAGGATCTTGTAATGGAGAAAAATAACCGTAAAGCCACAATTTTGTTGAAAGTACACCACCATGCATATCGTCCCACATATTTGGACACATCCCAGACCACAATAATTAGACCAAAATAACAATTTGGAAAAATAAAAGAAAATAGATGTCACCTTATCACCATATTATTATTATATCTGTATATTATTATATATAGTATCCTAAAGCATCTTATTTATAATATAAGTAATAATAATAATAATAAACCATATTTATATAATTTGTCCAATATTTGGCATTGTAGGGGAGTAAACAAACTCAATCATCATGATGCTCAATAATTGGCGACATATCCATGTTCTGCCTACTAATTACTGCTTTCTCTTTGTAGCTAGCTCCAGTTTTTACAAATCAATTAATTAACTAAACAACTCTACCTACCCATCATATATATCCTAACTTAGCTTGTTCCAAACAAATATTTGATTTATATGCAATTAATAAAACGAGGTAGACAATGTTCATCATAAGTTTTTGTGATTCGGAGCACTAATTTTGTCAATATATATATTATAGTATGTATGTAGGTACCTATACACTTTTATTACACAGTCGCACACTGATCAGTACTATAATACACTAATAATATATAATAATATACAGTCGGCAAATTAAAGCAGAAAGCAAACAGTAGTTAAAAGGAGATGGGAATTTTATTATTCGATCTCCATTTAATTTTCTCCAGAATCAATCATATATATATATATTTGTATATATGAACAGTAGTAGTGATATATGTCTTGGATTCGAGGCACAAGAATACGACGAGGTGATGCACCGCACCCTTTTTAATTAATATATATTTCTTCTTTTTCTTTTTCTTTTTCTTTTTTCTTTTTGAAGCTCGAGGCCGAGGTAAATATAATAATCAATTGGCCGAATACAAAGAAAGCGTGTGTGAAGAAAGAGAATCTAGTAATTGTTTTTAACATATATAGAAACACCAACCAACGAATTGGATAATGGATATCATCCATTTGCACATTTCATATATTATTATTTATATATATATATCAATTAATTGCTATATATATATTTCTCCGATCCTAAATAATAATACATTGGGAAAACAAAATCTGTGAATCAAAATCATTACTACCTTTCGGCTCTATGCATGTAATAACCATCACCAAAGTGGGGGCCTGACCTGACTTTCATGCAATTTTATTTATTTTTTCTTTGCTTTGTCGTACCGGCCTCTACATATATATTCAAGTTTTCCTGTCAATCTTTTGGCCACCAAATTAATTAAAGGGCAACTTGGATTTTGTAATAATAATACATTTGCTACTACATATATATTCATGTTTTTTTACATGTGTATTAAATACAATTAGTATCAATAATGTATGGTAGGTGCATACATATTTAGATGCATGCATGCTTGACTAGTATTCCTAAATTATATATGTTCATCATCATCGTCGTCTATAAATGTACTACATGTATAATGTGTATGACCCAACACTATAATGATTCTAATTATGTAATATATATACATGAATAAATTGTAGAAAAAAAAACGAACAAGTGGCCGTATCAGAGCTCGATCGATCGGTCGTTGATCAAAATCAACTAGGGTGCATGTAAAATTAGAAAGGAAGGGCAAAAATCCATAAAGAAAAGTAAAGAGATCATTAATTCAACAACTAGTATACACTTATTCGTAGATATTCATGACAATATTCATATCGATCTGCACTAAAGACTGTAAATTAATAATACCATGAGTACTAATGCATATATATATAGCTGGAAATATCATCTATGTACTTCTTGTTCAAGTGAATATTAAAAATGAGATACATATTATATATGTATTTTTTTTATATTTATATGTATGTAGTAGATAGTAGTGATATAAAGTCCAATTAAAAAAATGTCCAACCATTTATGGATATATGGTATTTTTCCAAATGTGGTATTTACAAATCAATAAATTCAGAAACATTATTAATATTTATGTCATCATGTGCTAAAGTAATTGTTATATGGTTCATTTTCGTCGTTGTCGATCACTAATTAAAACCATGACAATTATATACATTGCCAGTTATTACAAATTTATATGATGAATATGCAAATTGAATAATACATACAATATGCACATACCTAAAATTGGAAATTAGAGCTATACCATTGTAAATTTTTCCTACCTTCCCCACATACACACACACATGACATAACTATTTTAACCAAATATTCAATTATTACATGAAAATGTACTGAAAACAAGAATTCTATTAATGTGATTTTGTGCTCAGAAAGTTCATATGTTCACACATATATAAGTACAAATTAACTTTTAATTTAGTAAGGAATAAATCTTTAACTAAAGAAAACTACAAAATGCTTCTGATGCACACTAACTAAGGTTCCACTTATAATATATAATTTACTTAAACTCTTATTACACAATAAAAACCTTGATATATATTATATGTAGGTAAAATAATGAAACGTTTGTTTGTATAGATTAATATTAAATGCAGCTGCAACAGCAATCAGACATGATCAGATGCTGCAAAGAAGCTTTCCATGTATGTGCACATTCCATTTGAATGACTGATGGAAAACAAGTCATCAAATTAAATTATTATTAATGCAACTAACTGTAGAGAGAGAGAGAGAGAGAGAGAGAGAGAGAGAGAGAATAAATTGATGCATGGCAGGATGAAGGAATTGAATATGAATTTAAAAGAAAGAAAGAGAAGAAAAGATGTTTTCCATCAGTTTGTCCAAACAAAGAAGCAACCTCAAACAGGGAAAACTGTTACGCGTGAACTATATATATAGATACAAGAATAATACGCAGTTCCGAGGTCTAAATAATCATATTATAATACTGGTATATATATATTAAAATAAAGAGAGAGAAAATAAACCGAGAATGTTTGCCACAAAAAAAAAAAAACAAAAAAAAGGATTAAGGAAACAAGGCCCCCATGTTTTATGTTTACAGCAGAAATAAGAAAAAGGAAACAGCAGAAAAACTGTTACGTGTTATTTGAAATAGAGGAAGAATAACAATATAGTAATTAAAATGAACAAAAATAAAAACATAATCGATCCCCTCATACTTGGTACGTACGTGCTCCGAATCCGATCCTCTTTTTTCTACCACTATATTTCTTTCTTTCATTCTATCTCCTTAGCTCCTCCTCCTCCTCCTCTTACTAAAGTAACACAGTCAGTCGTTCGTACGTACAGCGTAGTTACTATCATTTTAATTTCATAATTAATTCTAACTCATGTGACTAGCTATCGGAGAGGAATTGCTTAATTTCTTAATTTTGTCAAGATCTTGGTGGTGGTGGTGGGAAGAATTGCGTACCGGAGAGGAAGCTGTTTATTGAACCTGTGTATAGATGATGAGATGTGTCCATAAACGCCGTGGCTCCCGCGCCGCCGGATGAGGTGTTGGCTGCAGCTGTATTACTAGAATTTCCCGTTATCAGATTCAGTTGCTGTTGTTGTTGTTGTTGTTGTTGATGATGATGGGTGGCTCCGGCGCTGACGCTTCCTCCTCCGCCGGAGGAAGTCTCCGCCGGCATATACTGACCTTCTGTGCCCTGGTCGTACAGAATACCTTTAAAGACATGCCCGCAAATATTGACTGCAGTTTGATATGCCCACTGCTCTTCAGCATCTTCCACGGCGGCGCTCACTCTCACGCATCGGAATACTGCCTCCGAACTCACTTCCGTCGGGAATTTTCCCACCTCCAACCCTAGATAATACACACACGTGTGCTTGTTTAGTTTAACAAGGGAATTAGGGTATATATATCTCTATCTCTATCATATCTAAATCGGTATCTTAGGAATATATATATACAATATGCATGTTTTTTTCCTCTTCTTCTTCTTGTTCATATTAGTATAATTACCTGAAGTGGTGGTAGGTATGCGGGTGCAGACAAGAGAATTGGAGGCACTGTTGTTATTATTAATAATAAGATTATGATTAACATCGTCTGTCCTTGATCTGTGTCTCTTGCCAGTACTTGTAGTGCTCTGATTCTGCTGCTGCTGCAAAGAAGCGAGCTGGTTCTGTCTCTCTCTTCTCTTAGCCGCTGGAACCCACGTGCTCTTCACGTGCGTTGCGCACTGAAACCCTCTGCTCTTGCAGCATGTTCTACACCTCATGTGCGTGCAGTCTTTCTTCGCCTGATTCCCACAGTCTTGGCAGCTTATTCCCCCTCCTCCTCCACCTCCCCCTCCGCCGCTCCTCATCATCAAAAAACCCGATCTTGGCGACTGCTCGTCCACCGAGCTCATATTAAACCCTCCTCCGCGGCTGGGGCCCACCGCCAGCCCTCCTGCGGAGGCGTAAAGATCCTGCAGCGGGTTGACGCCGACACCGCGGTGCAGAAAGTTCTCAGCTTGCTGGTGGTGGTGCTGCGGCTGGGGTTGCCAGAGCTCGAAACCCTTGTAAGAAATCTCCTCATTTCTGTAAAGGAACCAGCTTTCTGGGTTGATTTCTGAAGGTGGGTTGCTGCTTTCTTGATTAGGGTTTCTGCTACTTCCTCCGGTGGTGGTTCCTCGACCCCCTCCTCCTCCTAGTGAGAAAAAGCCAGCCATATTGGTAGTGGTGGTGACAACTCAAACAGCTGAAATAATAATATGAATCCGCGGTTTATAATAATAATAATAATAATAATAATACTAGTAATATTAAAAGTTAATAAAAAATGTGAGAGACAATGATCCATAGCACAAAATGCCTTGACAATAAAAGAATTAGAGAGACTTTTTTTGGGGGTTCTTGAAATGTGGGTTTTAAGGCAGACAAATTCTGAGTTGTGAATGTATGATTAAGTGCTGCCGTACTAGTATTATTGTTGTTGCCATGACCACCCAGTACTAGTGTTTGTATTTGCATGTCATCAAATACAAATTAAATTACTACTACTACAACATGTCTCTCGAACTTGGGGTGGGTTTTTAAATGAATGAATGAAAAAAAACAACAAAGTGATAGTTAATGTTTTTGGGGGCCGGGCAAGAGAGAAAGGAGTTTGTGACCGGACAGCTTTTTTGGTTTTTGTAGTAAGAGATCGATTTAGAGAGAGAAAGATGAGAGAGAAAGAAAAAGAAAAGACTTTGTGGTTATGGAGACACAATATTTAATCGGCTCCTTCAATTCTGTGGCTCTGTTGTTTACCGCATTTAATACGCTACTATTTACACCTCTGCCACGCCGCCATCCCCTCCCCTCCCTAAAAGCAACTCCTCTTCTCTTCTCTTCTCTTCTTCACTTTTTTTTTTCTTTTCACAATAATTTAATTTAATGAAAACTTACATGTAATTCCAATTTATTTATTTCCCTCTTTTTCCCCTTTCTTTAATTTTAATTACATTAATTAATTAATTGCAACTCTATCGATCAGCTTTTACTGTTTTACTACTCAGTACTCACTCACACCGAAAACTACTATTTCTCTCACACGCACAACACACACTAGCTAGTTGACTCTCTCTCTCTCTCTCTCTCTCTCTCACATCTCAATCTCTCTCTGTCTTGATCATCAACTAAGAGTGATCTAATTCTATTCCAAAAAAAAAAAAAAAACTAAGGAGTGATCTAAAGTTGGTGTTCATCTGCATGCAAATCTACGGCTACCTGTTTTGCCACGTTTCAACCCATTCAGCTTTTGGCAACCTCGTCCCTTGCACCGGAAAACCCGCTGCTTTACTATTTCTTTACTCCTTTTTTAAGGGGGGGAAAATAGTTATTTCCGAAATTATTAATATTTAATTATCATAATAATTTTTCATTACAATATAAATCTATGTTCTTGTCGAATAATGATGTATTATTCTTACAAAATAACACAATAAAAAACTTACACAAAAATTGTTTGAAAAAATCAGATTTCGATATTACTAAAAGTTGTCCTGTAATAAAATATTGACAATCCTCATTACTGAATTGTCTATTATAATATTAAAATATCTATTTTCGGAGTAGTATTTCGTGTCATTATTCAATCAGATCATATAAAAGGCTATTATTACTATTTAATTGATGAATAATCGACGTAACTACTATATATATATATATTTCAATAATTATATAGCAACCAAGCAAATATAAATATATTATGCTTACAAACCAAGTCTTATTCGCATAATTGTTATCATGCATTTTACTAATATCATTTTTTTATTATGGTACCATGAGTTATAAATTTTGAAGTTTATTATGAGTCCTCCATATAAATAGAATTTGAATTAAACATCAAACTCATTGATAATACTTTTATCACCATATATAGTAACTTTTTTGATGTAAAATTTGTATAATAATTAATGTATATGTGTCCTCAATGGTAAATAATTTAGTTTAGTGAACATATGCAGTTACTCATCAACATAATAATTCTTTTGATAATTTGAATTTCAAATGTTCATACCATTAATAAATATCACTAATTATTCTCCCATTCATTCATTTATCTTTTCCTCTATTATTATTATTATTATCTCTTTTTTCCCTTTTAGATATATAAATTTAATTACTATATCCCTTTTGACAGCAAGGAACATTTAAAGGCAAAACTTATGGGTTCTAATAATTAAAATACTTGAAAATTCAAAATCCCAACAACATAATTTTCGGTAATTAAATATAAACACAAACTTAATTAAAAGAGGGGTTCAATTATTCAAACCTCCAATTAATTAGAATTAAATATATCATTATTTAGGCGGATTATGTATAGATTATAGGGGCTTCCTAAGTGATTAATTTATTTTAGGGGACCAGTTTCAAAGTTAAGATTTCAATTAAGTTTTGATTATTGAAGTTGACTATAATTATAAAGGGTAAATAAGTCATTTAAGTAGATGATATGTACGTATTAAGACCACAAGAGAAAAAATAAAAAAGTGATTAATAATTATTAAATACCACATACGGATCCCCGCCGGCCTGCGTATATGGCCTACGATATGGAAATTTTATATACATTTAACTTTCGGGCCCCCCCGTTTTAATAACTTCTTCATAAACTGGACAATTTATTTATTAAATAATTGTGATTTCTTATTATAAATCAAGGTTAACAATTATTTATGTTTGTGTAACAATAATTATATTAAAAAAATCTCTTTATCCTTTCATAAATATTGGTGGTATCAAATAGTGTTTAATTTGTTTATTAAATTTATTTACTATAATTATGAATTACTATTATAGTGGACATAATACACATCAAGCCCTCATGACTAGTGCATTATCAAAATTATATTATTGTATTGTTCGATTATATATATATGTTGCAGGCCATCGATCAGGTAAAATATTCGTCTTGATTAAGAATATATCAACAGAAATCTGTAAAACTAGACTAGATAATTACATTTATTTCTTAATTCTCTCTCTCTCTCTCTCTCTCTCTCTCTCTCTCTCTCTCTCTCTCTCTCTCTCTCTCTCTCTCTCCCTCCCTCTCTCTTCTCTTTTTTTTTTTTATTTTTTTTTTCTTGTGTGTGGAATGATTATGTTAAAATCAGCAAGGAAACGTGAATAATTTATTTTTGTTTTAAAATTTGCAGCACCACTTCCTTAATTGGAAGGGCAAGAATCAGTGGGAAAATTACTTTTAGTAGAGGAATAGCTACAGAGAAGCAATTTGACGTAAATAAGGGTTTGTTTGGCCTAAAACAATGAAAATATTGTTTTGTTTGAGAATTTTATAGCCTGTTCGGTTCTCGTGATAACAACGGATATATTTGGATTTGCTATTTATATTTTTTCAGACTATATATACATAGATAGATAGAGAGATATAGGGTATGGAAATATATATATTAATAAAAACGTATTTGTTTTAGGATGACATGATAATACGTGATATGATAATGCCTCCTAGTATGTATATATATACGTCTGTGACTGAGAATAAGTTTTCGGAGGGAGGTGCGTGAAAAGAAGTAAGTAATAGGCGGTGGTGACGGAACCATAATTTTATATCGTAACCTTGCATGCGTTGTAACCTCATTGCTCATAATCGAGATAAAATATATGGAGATTAATCAATAACATTAATCTTTGTTAAATAAATTGTAAACTAATTAAGCCTATATATATATATATATAAAAGTTGATTGATGATTCACTTTTCCCCATCAAGTTTTACTCTTTAATTAGGTCAATTCAGGCAACAACAAGTTTACCTCACATATATATATAGGCGAGTACAATACATCTATCTATTCTGTTTGGATATAATCATGCTACCTTGTAAATCTGTCTAGGTAATTACATAACTACCTAAAATTATATCTTGTACATATATAAAATCATTGCTTGCTCTTAAGTTCGTAAATTTGGGCTATATATATAGATCATCTACCACAATATCAAAATATGGATACATGCATGATACATATATTACACGATAATTTATTTAATTTCAACAGATATTATAGTCTACAAATTTCCAAAAAAAGTTATCAAATTTAGACTGGAAAAAATATTCTAGTATTGATTATTTCTGCTGCAAATTAAATTGTACTATGTTGAATATAAAAAACAAATCTCAAGGGGTATTTACTATTATATAATCCTAAAATTAGCTGATTTTTTATATATAACCTAATCAAATTTTATAAAGAAAGAAGAGCAATTTCAAGCCGTTGATGATATATATTTTATGAGTTAGTTACCAACAAAAAGGGTTTTGACCTTATTAGTTGAAATTAAAAAGATAGAAACTCAAAAAAGTTGATAGATTTGAACCCCAGTCTAATGATGCTAGAGAGAGAGAGAGAGAGAGAGAGAGAGAGAGAGAGAGAGAGAGAGAGAGAGAGAGAGAGAGAGAGAGAGAGAGAGAGAGAGAGAGAGAGAGAGAGAGAGAGAGAGAGAGAGAGAGAGAGAGAGAGATTTAAGTAGGTAGGTTAGGGTACAATTTTCACAATAGTAGGAACTGCTTATGAGAAAAGGTATTGAATGATGAGTTTGTGCTAATTATATATGCCAATAAAACAAGTTGAGAATGAATTATTGGGCTGCATTTTATTGTCTTAACATGCTAATTAGCCGTGTAATTAAGAACATATATCTATAGAGATCCTTTAGACCTGCGCCCAAACAAATTTTAACATAATGTTCTAACCGTAAACTATAAATCTTTGTTGATTTTTTAGTTACAACTAATTAATTTATCTTTTATCACAGTTTGACTATTACTTAATCTACATTATATATATAAATGCACACCTAACCTACTCTCCAGGACTTATAATTACTTTCAAATAATGCTACATTATATATATTTCAACTATTTCAGCTTTTATGAGTAAACAAAATTTTCAAAATTTTCGGGAATTAAAACCAAGTTCACTTCACATGTTATATTTTTATTTTTTTACATTTAAATTTAATATTTAACATTCCATGTACTGCTGTGTAATAGTATATTTTTTAAAAAAAAAATTATAGAGATCGATTATTAAACAAAAATTAGGCACAGAGTTGAATTGTAGGAATGGTACTAATTAATTAATTAATCCTTAAGATTAAAAGGGAAGCAAAACTAGATAGATAGATGGGTGGCAAGTGGCAAAAATGGGTTGTCTGATATATGTCGGAGATTATGAAACTGCATGCCAACATCTAATTATATATATTTATAAAATAGGGACACTAAAAACTTAGATGGGCTAACTAAAATATTTTTAGGAATTACGAGGATAAATCATGAAGATGAACATACTAAATTGCTCACTTCGTAGTCGATTTCTTGTTTAGCCCCTATCAACTATGTCACAAAATTAATAGATTAACCATTTCTTGTACCTAGCTCATTTTCTTATTATAATAGCATAATTTTCAATTTTTTTTTTTCTAAAGGAAGAAAATAAAAAGTCAAATTTTGTCAAGAATCATCAAAGTTAATTAAATGTAAAGTTTGTTAGCATTAGGCAAAAGTATTAAAGACAAAACTACAAGTTCATCTAAGGTGTAACCGAGTAGAGTTATTTTATCAAGAACTTAAATTTTACTTATGTTGTTCATGACCTCACAAGCCGATATTTTTTTATTACAAGTATATATACACGAGCTCCAACAAACAAATGATGAGCTCGTGTACACAACATGCGATGAGATCGATTACAATCCTAAGTTTCTCCCTCGTATATTTTTCCCTCTTTCGTTAACTAGGAAATATTAGTATCTAATATAATTTGCTTGTCAAAATGATGATTTGTAATACTATAAGATTAGTTAGTTAATTCAAAATTGGACCGTAAGCCTTGATGTCTTTAAATTTTGTAAGGTACAATGACCTAACTACATTACTTGTTCAATTGACGATGTTGATTTAGTCAAAGGTATTAACCCTTATATACCTAATTCAATTTTTCAATAAAATCCTTTCAGCTTCTAGAATATTCAAATATTGCAACTTGACCCTTGAACTTCAAATTATATCATACATCGCTCTTTTTCCTAACATATCTATCTACTTACCATTATGTTTAGGGTGTGTTTGGATTCGAACATTTGGAATGAAATCAAACGGGATGGATTTGCATTACTCTAAATGGAGAAAGATTTGAAATTCACCATAATTGCTAAAAAAGAAAAAAAAAAAAAACTACAAATAAGAGTTATGAATTTGAAATATCTCGTTAATGACTCAATTCAAACAAATTCAAGAAATTTGTTGTTATGGATTTAATATCACTCCTGCAGATCTTCCTCCCGTTAGAATGGACCCCATGCCAAGGGAATGAAATTTGTTGAATGATGTATCCTCTATCTTTTTATTTTTTTTTAATAATCAAATATCGAAATATTAATACGTTAACAAAGGAAATTGTTTTTAATTAAATAACATGTAAAAAATATGTTTATAAAATGCCTAATTGAGGTATTGGGCCCGTGGAAATGGGGCTTGTGGTGTTGGGTCGTATAATATATATGAATTATGATCAAGTCAAGCAAAAGAGAAAATGGGGCCTTGCTTGCATTTCTCCAAAGATTAATTCAAAATTAGGGGATTTTGATGTGGGTCCTACAATACAACCACCCCAAAAAAACAAAAAAAAAAAAGGAAAAAAAAGAAAAGGAAGGATGAGGGGGTTATTAGGGACAAAGAATTGATGGATACTCCAAAAGATGGCTAGAGTTGACTAAATAAATAAATAAATAGAGAGGGACCATACCATATTACAATATTACAATATTACGAAAAGCAGGCAGCGTGGTTTAATTTTAGGAGGGTCGGGTCCCCACAGAAGACAAGATTTATAAATCAGTCCGATCCTCACTGGAGTTTGTGTAGAGAAATAATATGCATGGGTCATATGTAATTAGAGGAATATTAGTACTAAAGAGATTGCAAGTCATAAAAAATAAAAATAAGCATGCAGGAAGTTTGTGGGCCATGCATTCCCAATATTCTAATTTACAACATAGATCGTAACAAATTTCAATATTATTTATGCAACTCGATCGATCGATCTCTATTCTCTATACTAAGAATTTGAATTTATTATTTAGAATTATAACAAATTTCCTAGTCCTACTCTTATGGATCTTGAGTCACTCTTTTCTTACAATTCCCAATTCTTCCTCCCTCCACAAATTCAACCTACCTACGTACGTACTAATAATCTCTCTCTCTCTCTCTCTCTCTCTCTCTCTCTCTCTCTCTCTCTCATGATTCTGAGTGTGAGTGTGTGTGAAATTAATTAAGTATGGCGACAGGGAAAGGACGAGGGATGAAAAGATCAACAACTGCAGGAAGTTGTTACTCATCAACAACAACAACAACTATCATCTTCATTTCTTTATCCGCTTTATTCCTATGGCTTTTCACTACTTCCAATAATTCTTCCCCCACCAATATTAATAACATCTCCTCCATCTCCCGTTCCGACGGAAACGACGACCAGCCTTCAGCAACCACCATCGCCACCCATGATCTCCATCTTGAACCAGAACAAATCCTCCCCGTAGATCCCGTCAAATCCACCGACCACGACGACCAACAACCCACTCATGACAATATTATTCAAGTCAATCAAAACGACGACGACCCCAACGATGCATCATCATCATCATCATCTAATAATATTTCTGAAGACGACACGTCATCAACCACACAAGTACAAGTAGAACAAGAAGAAGAAAAGGTGACCCTGAATAATAATGAGCCGCAAGCAAAAGAGTCTTTGGAAGAAGAAGAGAAGCAGGCTGCGCTCGAAACACAAACATCAGAAGAAAGTACTGTCACCCACAAACAAGAAATCCAACAAACCAAACAAGACATTAATAATCATTTTCATGACGACGACCATGCTACTACTTCTTCTTCTTCCGAAACTACCACCACCATCTCACATAATAATTACCATGAGATAATTACGGATGAAGACGGACAACAAAGACTCGAAGAACACCAAAAGCAAGAAGACGATCAATTCCAACAAATCCAACAAAAATGGCATCCCAAAAACGACCCCACCGGAGCAACAAGCCATGATCAAATCCAACACGACGAACAAGAACCCATCACCCTACATCATGAACAAATTATCAATCACGATGATGATGATCAGGTGAAAAAGACGACGAATAGTAATAATAATAATCATAATCATAATAATAATCAGGCTTCTTCGAAAGATGATCAGACGAAGAACAAGAAGAAGTCGTCGACTCAAGCAGACGACGAATCCACGGTGTCGTCTGAAAAGGAAAGAAGAAATAACGGTGGTGGATCGAACAAAGATGAAGAAGACAAAAGTAGTAGTAGCGAAGATTATGGTTACAAATGGCAGATGTGTAATACAAGTGCAGGTGCAGATTATATACCATGTTTGGATAACGAAAAAGTTATATCACAAATACATACAAGAAAGCACCACGAGCATCGCGAGCGCCATTGCCCTGAGGACCCTCCAACTTGCTTGGTCCCACTTCCCAACGGTTACAAAAGACGTATCGACTGGCCTCAAAGTAGAGACAAGGTATGTATATGTATGTGTATGTTATATACATCGTTAAATATTAGCTTGATTATTGTTACAATGGTATATGTTGTTGTGCATGGCATGCAGATATGGTACCATAACGTACCACATACATTGCTAGCAGAAGTTAAGGGGCATCAAAATTGGGTTAAGGTTGTCGGAGAGTTCCTCACTTTCCCAGGTGGTGGCACTCAGTTTATTCATGGAGCATTACATTACATCGACTTTATTCAAGAGGTATTATTATAGTTATTCATATGATCTTTTATGTACAAATTAAAACAAAACAAAAAAACATGAATAAATTATGTTTTTGTAGGCAGTGCCAGATATTGCATGGGGAAAACACAGTAGAGTAGTATTGGATGTGGGGTGTGGGGTGGCAAGCTTAGGGGGTTATCTCTTCGAGAGAGACGTTCTTACAATGTCGTTCGCTCCTAAAGACGAGCACGAAGCACAAGTACAGTTTGCCCTGGAGAGGGGCATTCCTGCAATTTCCGCTGTTATGGGCTCTCAGAGACTACCCTTTCCTAGTAGAGTTTTCGACGTGGTGCATTGCGCCCGATGCAGAGTACCATGGCATGCCGATGGTTCATTTATTAATTTATTTATTCTCTCCCTATATATATTTTTGTTTTGAATATATAAAAGTTGTTAAATAATTATAATTTTATGATAAAGGTGGTGCTCTACTATTGGAGTTGAATAGGGTACTAAGGCCGGGAGGCTACTTTGTTTGGTCAGCAACTCCGGTTTATCAAAAGCTTGAAGAAGATGTACAGATATGGAGAGGTTTATATAATTAATTAACCCCATATATCTTCAATTGCTTTTATTTCTTAATTAGTATATCCATGAACATCTTAATTAAGTTTACTTTGTTTAATTTCCTGGTAGAAATGTCTAATCTAACGGTGGCAATGTGCTGGGAGCTAATCACAATCAAAAAGGATAAGCTGAACTCAGTAGGTGTTGCTATTTATCGAAAACCGGATTCAAACGATTGTTACGAGCAAAGAAAGCGTAACTCTCCTCCAATGTGTAAATTAGCCGATGATCCTAATGCTGCATGGTAAATTAAAACAAAAACAAAAAAATATCAGATTCTTTACATAATATTTTTCTCAAAAAAAAAAACATGAAAATAGAATGATTATTAATGATAATTTGTTTTCAGGTATGTGCCATTGCAGTCATGCATGCACAAGACGCCGGTTGGAGAAAACGAGAGAGGGTCACAGTGGCCGGAAGAGTGGCCGGAGAGAATCGAAACACCGCCATACTGGCTGAACAATTCTGAGATGGGAATTCATGGAAAACCATCTCCAGATGACTTTACTTCAGATTATCAACACTGGAAAAAGGTTGTCCAAAAATCTTACATGGATGGTCTCGGAATTAACTGGTCCAATGTCAGAAATGTCATGGATATGAAAGCAGTCTATGGAGGGTAATTAATTCATTAATTAATTGCACACACACACACACACACACGCGTACACACACTTCAAAATTTGCATTAAATGAAAAAATTGTCTGCATGCATGCATGCATGCATGAATATTATTATATGCAGATTTGCTGCAGCATTAAAGGAGATGAAAGTATGGGTAATGAACGTGGTGAACATAGATTCTCCGGACACACTTCCCATAATATACGAAAGAGGTCTTTTCGGTATATACCACGATTGGTGCGAATCGTTCAGCACTTATCCTAGGACGTACGATCTTCTGCATGCAGATCATCTCTTCTCCGGACTCAAAAAGAGGTACATATATACAATTCATATATACATATTCCAAAATATATATGTGATTGAATGAATAATATATATATATATATATAATTGTAGGTGTAAAGTGGTGACGGTGGTGGCGGAGGTGGACAGAATAGTTAGGCCGGGAGGGAAATTGATAGTGAGAGATGATTCGAAAACAATAGGAGAAATAGACAAGATGTTGAAATCATTACAATGGAAGGTGTCTATGAACTTGTCTGAAAATGAACAACATGTCGTACTCACTGCTCACAAATCCCAAACATGGCGCCCCGATTCATATGCACCTCCATCTTGAATCTTTCATCATGCATATTCATATACATTTTCGAAATATGGAGTAGGCTAGATTCCATTTTTCTGTTTTGCAGTTATATGATTTCTTCGTTGTTACAGTTACGTTGTTCAGATTAATTCATGTTTTGTTTAATATATAATTAATTGCTATTTCTCCGATCCAAGATTCATCTGCCCATTATTATTTTGTGAGGGTGCAGTACTGAATTTGGTGCCAACATGCATATGGTGTGGCCAGAAAAAAAAAAAAAGAGGACGATAATTGTAACTACTTTTAAACAAGAATAAGAAAAGTTTGTTTTTTTGTAATTAAACCAGTTTTGTTCATGATATTATTCATAAATTTGAAAAAAATTATGATTTATCGTCTTATGTAACACTTGCACGTCTTCAACATAGTCTACTAGCAATTTGTAATTTGAGCAAGGTGGAACCGCAAACCGCTGTCAACTCCTAGTTCGAGAGTCTATATATCGAACTACATATAAATATTTGTGATTAAACAACATCAAATATAATGAGAAAAATGCATTTCATTTGCAAAATTTGCCATCAAAATTTAATCAAGTTTCAGAAGCAAAAACTCTCATGGATGATAAAGTACGTATTAATTAATGTTTAGGAGTAAAAACTAATATTCACCTATATATATCAAGTAAAAATATTACTGCTTGGAATATACACCAATCGTACAACAAAATGATGACAAACATTTACCGCAGTTACTTGGACACATATATAGTACACTGTATTGTTTCTGATATAAGAATATTTCTGTCAAAATATCTAGTGCCTCTAAATTAGGGGTGTAAACGAGCCGAGCTCGCCTCTTTTGGCTGGCTCGAGCTCGAGCTCGAGTTTATTTTGTCGAGCTCGAGCTCGAGCTCGTCGAGCTCCTCTTTTTTTGGCTCGAGCTCGAGCTCGTGTCAATTTTGTCGAGCTCGAGCTCGAGCCCATTGTCTTTTTTTTTTTTAATATTTTTTTAATTATTATTTTATTATTAAAAATTATTTAAAAAAAATAAAAAATAAAAACTAAATTGAAATTATATATATTTTTTTAATATTTGTATTTATTTCTATAATATTTTACATTATTATACATTATTTAAATAAAAATAACATATAAAAAATAAAAAAAAAAATAAAAAAATAATAATAAATCCGGCTCGCGAGCTCATGAACAACTGAAAACCGGCTCGAGCTCGAAAATCTCGAGTCCGAATTCGAGCTTTTTACGAGCCGGCTCTTCGAGCTCACGAGTCGGCTCGGCTCGTTTACACCCCTACTCTAAATTAGATTATCTAGGTTCTGACCAACACTACTATACGTAAGTAGTATATAATTTGTATTTTAACTAAACATCCAGCACCAGTGGTCTAGTGGTAGAATACTACCCTGCCACGGTACAGACCCGGGTTCGATTCCCGGCTGGTGCAGATTTTTTTTTTAATCCGAACCTACTGAATTAAAATGCAATTTAATGCTCTTTAAAAAATTACTCCAGAAAAAATAAAAGGTAGCAACTGTACATCTTGATTTGAATTTTGAACCGGACTGGCTCCATTTAGTTGCCGGGTCTGGCCCACATGCGGATATGGAGCACCGACAATGAAAACCAAGGGCGGCAACCATTCTTGCTAACTTCAACATTTAAAATTCAAATTGTTTTATTTTATCAACAAATCAAATTTCCTATAAACAAATGAAATTCAAATTCTTTTTTCTATTTTGTCGGAGACTTAAAAATGTCAAAAGAATAATCCAGTAGGAGGGCGACACGTAGCTGGCAATGAAAACGACCTTGAGCCGGCGGTTCTTTTTTCTTAACGTTATTTACCCTTTGGTGAAAAGATAAAAGAAAACACCCTCGTCACCTTTTTGGAATCTTAACTACATTATTACACTTTAAATACTGTATTTTCTTTCTTTATCAAATAATAAAATACTTTTTTTTTTTATTACTGTACTTCTTAAATTATATCAACAATACAAAATTGAGTAATTAATTAATGATTTGAATTTTTAAAAATATTTGGTAGTGTCATGATAGATATTGCTAAAATTTTAGGCCAATCGGGGCCCAGCTGCCAATATGAAGGGACGTGGTTAACAGTTTCATAAATCATAATAGTCAAATGCATCTATACCAAAAAAATAATCGTACAACTATTTGCATCTGAACATGTACTTTTAATATTATTATTAAATTTTGTGATACATTATGTGTACTTAATATGGTTTCTATTTCTTGTTTTATTTGCAAATTATTGCATGACCTATTAAACTTATATAGTTTACTAAAGATTCCCTAAAAAAAGAAAGAATATTACTGAAAGTTATAATAATTAACATTTCTTACATTGATTTCGACTTTTGAAGGCACTTGAGATTGATTCATTGACATAAAAACACAAGTCAGATTTGTTATTTCTTGTTGTAATTCTATAATATTATTCCATTTGTAACTAAAGACTAATCCTTAAATGTTTTCTTTCTCATAATTAGTAAAGAGATGGATTAATTAGAAACATACAAGCCCATCTGATACACACACGGCTATGGTTCGAGAATTATTATAACTTCATGGTTCGGAAACACTGGTTTCGGAATCGAGATATATATATATATATACTGGATCATAACTAGTTCGGAGAATTGGTGGTTCTGGGCCTGTTCATTAACCTCCGATTTCGACGATGCCCAATATAATTTACGTTTAATTTTTCAAATTGGGGCATACCTATCAAAATAGCTAGAAATATAAGAACATTTAAACGAGAGATAAAATAATATATGTAATAATTAAAAAAAAATAAAGGAAGTTGAAAAGAGGGCATGCATGAATAGTTATTGTCAAATTATTATCAGAGAGGACTAAATACTAACTTAGGGAACAACGTGGTGGTGAAGAATCATTTCAGTTCGTGACAAAAAACAAAATAAAAAGAAAATAAAAAAGAAGAATTAAGAAGAAAAGCTGTTTAGAATATATATAGGTTGAGACATCATTTAATTTAGGGTAAATTACACACACCCCCCTGAGGTAAGCTTAAATAACTGTAAGGTCCCTGTGGTATCGATAATTACATTCACCCCCTGAAAGGTAGTTAAAAACTCTAACGGGATAATGCATTGGATACATTATTCCGATAGGGTTCTAATGGACTATTGGTTTCAGGAAGTGGTGAAGACAACACAGAGTTATGGGTGATTTAAAAAATATTGGGGGAGCCATGTCACCCCATAACTCCCCATAACTCTATGTTATCTCCACAACTAGCTAAAAGTAATAGTCCATTAGAACCCTATCGGAATAATGTATACAATGCATTATCCCGTTAGAGTTTTTTAACTACCTTTCAGGGGGGTGAATGTAATTATCGATACCACAGGGACCTTACAGTTATTTAAGCTTACCTCAGGGGGGTGTGTGTAATTTACCCTTTAATTTAATTTGTTTTGGTCTGCATATACATACATTATTTTTTGATTCCGAGGGATGCCCAATATCAATCCCATCCAACATGAGAAATTAAACACCACTACATTATTAATCCAATATCAATCCCATCCAACATGATAAATTAAACACCACTACATTATTAATCCAGTTTCTAGGATTAGACCTCACATTCTAATTGCACCTCAACTAACGACAACTGTTTAAATGATGCCTATACTAAATCAGTATCGCTTCTTTAATTATTGAAATTATTTAATCAAGAATTTTGTAATTCAGTTTATAAAATTAAATGTGTCATAAGCATTCATTTAAATATAAAGTTACAGTACATATTCGTGTTGATATTATTATAGATGGATGATATGATTAATATTAAGGGATAATACGCTAGAGGTCCCTAATTGGAAACATAACTAGATACAGATTACAACATTAATATTTTTCTATGAACTAAATCCTTTTTAGAAAAATAAATATGAGTCACATCCTCAATTTTTCTTTTATCCATAATTTACCCTTAACCTAAATCCATAAATTCTAAAGTTACGTTTCTCTCAGATTTATTTTTCTTTCTTTCTTCTCTCTCTCAATCTCGTTCCCTCTCTGTCTCTCGCATCTCGCTCCCTCTCTCTCTCTCTCTCTCGCAACAATCTTTCTCTCTCCCTCTCAATCTTTATCTCTCTATTTTTCGATATCGCTATCTCTCTCTGTCTCTTTCGTTCTCCACCACTCCAATCCACTATTGAGAGGGGCGGTGGTTATGGCGGTGGTTATGGCGGTGGAGACGGCAGCAATAAACGGATGCTTGTAGAGGCAAGGAGACGACGGCTATGGTGGTTTAAGGTCAGATCTATGGTGGAAGGCGCGACAACGGTGTTGGGCATGGATGACGGCGTGATGGCGGCGCTCGGTGATGGTGGTGGTGGAGGAGCGGATCTAGAGTTTGATGGGGAAAATTTAAAAAAAATCGATTTGGATATCTATGGGTGTCTATGGGTCTGGCGGCTAGGGTTTGTGGGAGTAGTTAGGGTCTCAAGATGTCTTAGGGTTTCAAGATGTCTATGGGTGACTACGGATTACTACAGTTTCCTATGAGTTTCTGAAGATGTCTACGACCGAAAAAATTAAATTAAATCATAATTTTCACTTTATGTAGAGAAGAAGGAGAAAAAAATAGATTTTTATATAATGATAAAATACGGGGAAAAAAAACGTGTTCCACGTAAAAAAAAAAAATGCTAGATGCAAACTTAAAAATGTTAAATAATAACATAGTTCATCATAGTATATTTACAATTTGGTGTAATTTTGAATTTGTGAGTGGAGGGGCATTTTTGGAATAAATTTAATAAAGAATATGAAGCAAATTTTAGTTTGACTTGTCATTTAGTTCTAATAAGGGTTGTTAGCAGGAACTCTCATATCTTAAGACCCCTAATATTAATATAGGTATTACTAATTTAATTTGCACATTATATTTCACTGGGTATAAACATATAAAGATTTACAATTTGATTAGATTATTTACAAACATAAAATAGGTTCATCGTCTTCATAATTCAGATAAGGTTGAAAATTAAGTGCGCAAATTGTGGTGGAAGAAACCTAATTATGTTTGAATTATTCACATAATTAATGGGGACCTAAGGTAGGCAGTACAATACCACTGAGGCTAATTAATCAAATAATCACAATAGGAAGGAAAAATACAATTATTAACATAATAATGAAAGTTAATTTGGCATCAACTTTCTAGCTGTCACACTCCCACACAGGTAATCCCATTCGGATTATTCAGACCATAAAGATGAAAGTTAAAAAAGTAAAAATAAATAAATAATTATTTAATTTATCCATAATGAAAGAAAGAAGAAGAAGAAGAAATCTAGAGAATTTTTCATTGGGCAAAGTTAAAAAAAAAAAAAAAAAAAAAAAGGCAGAGCGGGAAAAAAGCACGAGTTTGATGAACTACCTTTAAAGAGTGACGATTAATGCGGTAGGTTTAAATTAGTCACAAATTAAATCACCCTCTTTCTTGTTCACATATCTAATACTATTTTCCTTTTCTTGCTTTCAATAACTATTTCTTTTCTTTCACTTTTTTTTTTTTTTTTTTTATTATCAACCAAAAGAAATAAATCATATTGCAGAGTCTTTTAGTAATACATTCATGGGTTTACGTCTCTCGTGTAATTTAAAGGATTATCTCGATGCACGTATGATTTTCTTGAGATTAAAAAATGGGATTAAGAAAATGAAGACACTAGAAATCGAAAATGCAATATTTAACGAATATAAGATAATATTTGTAATATAAAAGATGAAATTACACAATAAAATTCAAGATTATAAGCACACACACAAAATATTACGAGAATAGGTAATCCCAAAATGTGTAAAAAAATGTCAGAAGATAGTAGAGGTATAAATAACACAAAGAAGAAGAAAAACAAAATGTATATATATTTTACTATGAACTATTTAATGATATTTTACTATAGTAATTAAAAAAGAAAGAATAAATAAGTATTAGTTATTAGGTGAGTTAGAGAAGCATTAATCCATGAAAGCACGCACCAAATCAAACTCCCTCACTCTTGTGTGTGTCATTGAATGCTTTACCGAACGAAGTGAGCAAGAGCAACAAACCCTCTTCTCCTTTTCTCTTCACATATTTCAACCTTACCCTTACCTTCTTTTTCCCACTCCTTTTTTTCTCCTCCTCCTCCTTCTTCTCTATCACCTCCTCCACTTCAGCTCAGGTGCTCCTCCTTTTCTTTTTCCTTTTTTTTTTTTTTTTTAATTTTTTTTTTATAATTTCCTTCATTCTTGAAATTATTAATTTTTATTTATTGTTTATTTTGTGGAAAAAGATTCAATTTTTATGCATAAATTTGCTAATTTGCATGTGGGTTTTTAGGGAATTAATGGAATGCGTGCAAGGAGCTTTGGTAGGCGGGTTTGAGCCTGAGACTGTTTTCAAGAGTACTGCGGCGTTTATGGAGGACTTTTTGGGCTCTAACGGCGTTCCTAACGCCGTTTCCGGCGATGACTTGTTCGTTGACGAACTCCTCGACTTCTCCAATGACTTCTCCGAAGAAGAAGAAATAGAAGAAGACGAAAAGCCCCTGCAACCGGAGGAATTCGAACATCACAAGAACAAATTTTGCTCTGTTTCTCAACAAATGCAAACCCCGCCGGAAAAAAGTGGTCTTTCTGCAAACGACGATTTTGATTCTCTCCCTGAAACTGAATTACCCCTTCCGGTAAATCCCCTCTTTTATTTCTTTTTTTCTTTCTCCAAATTACTCTGTGAAAAGAAGCGTTTTTGTTTTTTAATTTTTTTTTTTTGGTGAACGGTGGAAAATAGGATTAACTGAAAAAAGATTACATTTTTACACAGGCCGAGGGGTTGGAGAGTTTGGAATGGCTATCCCATTTCGTGGAGGATTCGTTTTCCGATTATTCCCTCACCGGAAAATTGCCTCCGAACCCGGCGTCGAAGCGGCCCGAAACCGTTACGGCAGCCCAGGAACAACCCTGTTTCACAACTCCGGTTCAAACAAAAGCCCGAACGAAGAGGGCCCGAACAGGGGTCCGCGTGTGGCCGGTTTTGTCGCCTTCGTTCACCGAATCCTCCACCTCATCCTCATCTTCATCCTCCACGACTTCCCTTTCGCCCCAGTACGCCTGGACCGGTGAGTCCTTCCTGGGGTACCCGCCGCCGGTGAAGAAGCAGAAAAAGAAAAGGGCAGACTCCGGCGCCGCCGTACCGGCCCAGCCGAGGAGGTGCAGCCACTGCGGCGTAACGAAGACGCCACAGTGGCGGGCCGGGCCGCTCGGGTCGAAGACGCTTTGTAACGCTTGTGGGGTGAGGTTCAAGTCGGGTCGGCTCCTACCCGAATACCGACCCGCGTGCAGCCCGACTTTCTCGACCGAGATGCACTCGAACAACCACCGGAAAGTATTGGAGATGAGGCGCAAAAAGGAGTCGGAAACTGAAGCCCCCGCCGGAGTGGGCCCACCGGTTCAGAGTTTTTGAAGGTATCAATTTTAGGAGAATAGAGAAACCGAAAGAAAAGTGGTAGGAAATTAAAGAACCGGAGTGATTTAGTCCGGTCCGGTTGAATTAGTGTACATTATTATTATTATCGAGGAGGGAGGCATGTGGTGGTGAGGTAGGTTACCTAGGCTGATTAATTAGGAGAGACTTTAATGTTTTATTTATTGTAATTCGAATTAAAATTTCAAATATTTGAATCATTTCCTCTTCTTCTCTAGTATTGTATTTTCATTTATCAATCAATAGAATAAATAATGCAAAATAAATAAAAATAATAAAGTGGGGGTTGGGTTGGGTTGGGGGAGAAGCCGTTGAAAAGCGAAAAGGTAATGAGGTAATAAGGTGCACGCCACAAGCTAACAACAAACCCCCTCCCTACCCCCCTCACATGTCATATTATGGTTTGGGTCAAAAAATGTGCATGGCGTGAAGTTTAAGCATTTTTTGCATTTTCTTCTTTTTCCTCTTTTTTCTACTTATTATTAATCATTTTACTACCATCCATCATCAATGTATACTACTACTAGTACCTTATTTAATTTCAATTTCTATCATTTTCTTTTGTGAAGGAAGACAAGGCTAATAATAATGGTAACTTTTATTTTTTTTCCTTACAAAATAACCCCATAAATCGAGCTCTCGTGCAATAATAAGCAATTCAGATCATACATGCAATATTGAGTGTGGGAAATAGTAATTTTAAAGATTCAATTTTTTGGATTAATAGTAATATTTAGGACTCAATGATCATAGGATATATAGAAGCATGTATGGTATGATATGATATGATGTCTCCCCTCATATTGGTGTGAATTAAAATCAAGGATTTGGTGATGTGGACCCTCATCGGTTGTTTATTGGACAGTAGGACGTACATTTTTCTGCAGGGAATCAAATGTAATTTAATTTAATTTATTTTCGATGTTACCAATATCTATTTCAAGAATATATAATTTCTTTTAATTTTATTTTTTTCCCTTTAGCATTTGTTTCCTTTTGTCAGAAGACTTTCTGTGGTACAAAAGAAAAGACAAACAAAGACACTCTATCAAACTAGTGAAATACATTACATTAATAGACTGTTTTCTAGGCATGTAATTAATTGCACAGCCTAATTACTCTTACTTGCTTAATTATTTATTTGCCCCTTTTACAACTTTCATTTTATTAGTTCAACTCTTTCAAATTAATACCATTATTTCAGTGGTCTAGAGCCACATCATGCACCAACCAACCAACAAAAAAGAAACACTGGCAGGCATGGTTGATTATAAAATGGAGGGATTGCCAAATGTCACAGGGATTATTATTCTTTGACCAGAAAGATTATTTAGTTAGTGTGTTTATAAATTAATTATTAATATCCTAACAATGATTAATGTGTTTGAAGTCAAAAAAGTTCAAATGTTGTTGAATTAAAAACACACACACACAAAAGAGTGATACTGATATGATTGCCGCTCCATCCACGTGCTTTGCACCCCCGCCCCGATATACGTACATCCGAATAAAACAAATATATATTAGTTATTAATTAATAATATAATATTCCCAAACCATCAACCTAATCCTTATTAATTACACACAAGCATACAATTATATATACCCAAGTGTAAACACAGTATTAAATTAAGTGTCGAGATTTTTTCATTTATATGCAAAGTTAGGGGAGGTTTGACAATTTAGAGACATCGCTTACAACTTGAATATTAGTCGTTTTATGGACCAACAACTAAATTCTACTTGATATTTAATACTCCCTCCTTCCCTCAATAGTTGTCACTTTTGTTAGTTGCACACATATTAAGAAAATCAATAAATAGGCATAGATATTAACAAAAAGTATAGTAAATCACTAATATGCCCATGCCATTAATTGATTTTTAACTAACTATATTTTAATTAATTATGAGTGAGAAGGGCAAAATTGAAAAATTACAATGAATAATTCATTGGAAATAGTAAAATGACAAATAATTTGAAACATAAAAAAATGACAAAAGTGACAATTATTAAGGGAAGGAGGGAGTATAATTTATACCATAATTTCTAATTAATACTTCACTAATGCAGGACTAGTGGACTACTAATTTTTACTTAGTTCTCTATCCGCATCAAAATATTTGTTTGTTAATTGCGTATTTGATAAATTAATAGATACGGATGAATATTTACGTGTCAGTGAGTATTGATCAAAACAAAGACAGAATATGACATAATATTTAAACGTTTATCTATCTTGTTTATAATGCGTTCAAGCTAAAAATAATACAAAAATGGAGTGATGCACCTAACTAGGTTTGGGTGGGCCCCCCGAGTACCCCTCTAAAGGCCAACTTGGATCTGCATGTTTAATTTGTTGCCACTTTGTACGTTAGCCAATATAATTTGGGTTTGCATTATTATTATTGTAAGTCGATTTGAACTTGATTTGTGTGTCTTTACGAGCTCGTTAACTTGGGTTCTTGAATTTGGGCCGATTAGTATAGATTGAGATTAATTGTGCTTAATTAAGATTTTTTGTAGCCCAAAGCTAAGGCCGGCAGTATGATGTGTCCAAATTTAATTTTTTGGTCAACTCAAAACTTTGATGAAAGGAGTATTCGTTTGAAAGGAAAAAGAAAAACAAACAAATATTAATTTTCTTGTGTGCTTCCGTAAAGATTTGGAATCGTGAATGTAAAAGAAATATTCTAAAGAATTAAAATTGATAGAAAAATAAATGAAAAGAT